AGTAGACTACAGAAAAGAAGAAATAGACTACAGAAAAGAAAAAAAAAAGAAGTAGTAGATTACCGAAAAGAATAAATAGACTACAGAAAGTAAGTAGTAGACTACAGAAAAGAATTAATAGACTACAGAAAAGAAGAAGTAGACTACAGAAAAGAAGAAGTAGACTACAGAAAAGAAGAAGTAGACTACAGAAAAGAAGAAGTAGATTACAGAAAAGAAGAAGTAGACTGCAGAAAAGAAGAAGTGGACTACAGAAAAGAAATAGACTACAGAAAAAAAAATAGACTACAAAAAAAAAATAAGTAGTAGACTACAGAAAAGAAGAAATAAACTATAGAAAAGAAGAAATGACAGATACACCAAGTGTATTCATTCATGAATAGCTTTCTCTCACACTCTTTCTCTCCTTTCCTTTTTTACGGAATTATTTTCAAACTCTATATTGTCAGAATAGGTCAAGCAAAGGCAGCATTTCAGAAAATTAAAAATATCTTATGCAATAAATCACTTTCATTTAATGTCAGAAAGAGAGAGCTAAAATGTTACATATAACCTGAACTGCTGTATGGCAGTGAACCTTGGAATATCAGTGAACAAAGGAAGAAGAATTTGGAAGCAACAGATGTAGTTTCTGAGATGAATGTTATGAATACCTTTTAAGGACAGAGTAACTTACAACGATTGCTTGAAAGAAGCTAATGAAAGTAGATTTCTATATACATACAACAATAAGAAGGAGACAAACACTGTTCTTTGGCCATGTAATGAGCAGAGAGGCATTGAAGAACATTGTGACAACTGGAAAGATCAGTGGTAAGAGGGGTAGTGGCCAACCAAGAGACATGATGCTGGATTGGCTGAAATGATGGCATGGAGGGATATCATCAAGAGAGCTGTTCCAGGCAACCATGGATCATGATCTGTGGAGATGCATGAGCGCTTAAATGCCAGTCGGCCTGGCACATGATGATGACGATGTTGTCAAACCAGAATTGATACAGAACTGTTTTTTCATGTAGAACTAATGTCAGCATCATCGTGTGCCTTACCAGATAACAGAGGTGTTCATGTCTCTCACACATCTGGTTCTTCTCTTCCCTGTTGGGTTGAGGTTTGAACAATGAATCAACATCATCACACACAGGTTGTAACCCATATCATGTGCTTCATCATCATCATCACGTGCTATGTCAACAAGTGTGGCAGCCACAGTTTCTGTCTCTGATTGTCACAAGTCTCAGATCATGTCTGTGCTTTTGTCTCTGTTTAAACATGGTATCTTTATCTTCCCCCGACTCTTTCCCACTAAAGCTGCCAGATTTCACTGACTTCCCAAGCTTATTTCTCATAAAATACCTAAAGAGTATTGACTGTTTCTGTGTACCCCATTCAGTGAAGTTTTTAACTTGTTTCTTGAAGGACGGTCTCAGCTTTTTCTCAACAAATTAAGATTTTTATCAGTGGTAAAACTAGATAATTTCAGATTCCAGTAAGATAGACCAGAGTCAGGAGCAGGCTGCCTTTGCAAATGCAGAAAGAAATCAACATAAGGAATCTATGGCAAACAACAGCATCAGCACCACCACCACCTAGTTGTGTCATTACCCATCAAACAGGGCTTACAGTCTATTCCTTTATTTCGTCCCATCCTTTACAACCACTTCGATATCATGGATGGAATCTAGTCTTTGCCTCTCTCGTCAGTGTTTATCTTACTATTACTTTTTACCCGTCCTCCTTTCCTCAGTTCATTTCTTTCCCCTTAGAGACTTTTTTTGGGGCAATTCTCTGTTCACTGTTCCCTAGGAACTTCCCAATATATTGCTATCTTATTTTGTCTTATAGATATTTACACTAATGGTTATCTAACCATTTCCTATTTCTTTGCTTTCCTTGAATTCATCCTATTTTATGTTCATCCAATTTCTCAGGCATTTGTTTCTGAATGCACTCTTTTGCGTTTTATGTGGTTATCAAACTTCCACTGTCAAATGTTAATACAGAATAACAGTGGAACTGAAAATACTTAACTTCATTTTCAAAGTATATAATTTAGAGTTCTAAATTGTGGTCACACTTTTAAAAGCTGTATAACAAAACTAGCAAATAAGTTATAGGACAAATTTTGAGAATGTTTACATCTCCCCATGGCTTTTTGAACCAACATATCACAGCAGACTGTTTAGAATGCTGCCGATGAAGAAGAAAATACACTCTATCAGATCAAGAATTGAACTGGCTCATAAACAGATGCCAGTTAAGCTGCAATACTTTCGCCACAATGCATGTAGTCGTGGCATAGGAAAAAAGCAAACAGCCACTGGGCTTTCACCAGGTTTGAGATGGAAGATTTTTCTCAGACTGAGACAAAATAAAAATCCTAACCCGCAGTTTGTGGCGACTGCGCTAGCCATGTGGCCCTAAATCCTCAAGTCCACTGTGCTACACTACCAAATGGTAAACACTGAGAGTCAAGACAGTAGAAAACAACTTCAGAAGGTGCATGACCTTAGAAGAAAAAGCAATGTTTGACCAACATGGGAGTGGATATAGGATATTAAAGATACCCTGGTCATGACGTGGAAACTAGGGAAAGATCAGTTCTCGGGTAGGACAGGATGAGGGCAACAATCTACAAAGGATCTGCTGTATGAGGAATTAGCAAAGGACCTTATAAATGTTAGCCGCCGTGGCATAGGGGATAGATCAGAAGGTCGTGGGTTTGCTCCCTGGCAGAGCCGGACTTTTTTTTTTTTTTTTTTTTAAATGACCGTGAATCTCAGGTCGACCTAGCATTAAGTGGTACCGGGTGCAGTCTAGGGAAGTAAAGGTGGCCGGCGTGGTGATGACCACATCATACATCTTGTGCCGACTGGTCCATAAAAATATAGGTCTAGCCTTATATGCATTCAGGACAAGCCCGTATTAGCTTCGTCCCCCTCCTCAACAGCCAGCAAAGAGTCCTCAGAATGATATGTTGAATAAGAATCGACACATCACAGCATTTGGGACACCCCCTTAAACGCTCCGTCCCCATCTTCAGCAGTAAGCGAAGAGTTAAAATTCCGAGTGTACCAGTAACGGTCTGAGTGTATATTCGTATCGCCTTTCCCCTGAGTGTCGAACACAAGCCAGATCCCATTTTAACTCCTTGCAGTGCCATTCTCCTCAGACCGTTATGATCTATCTGTGCCTCGCTCGGCACTGTTTCCTCATACTGATAGTAGTCATTATCTGGTTAACTACTCTTGACTGTGGTCTCAAAACATTCTGCTGCCTTTCTTTGGCTGCTACTTTCCAGAAATTGTAGAAGATCAACCCTTTCCTTTATATCAGCTCTTTCACTTCTTTTCTTTTGCATTTTAACTGTGACAAAGTGTATACACAGAGTAACAGACAATGCTGGTTAAGACCAGTTCGTCATTTTATAGAGGTTAAATTATTGTTTCTGTTTCTCTTTCAAAATAAGTTCATGTCAATTTCGACACGAACGACAAAGACAGAGGTTACAAAGCTGGGATCTTATCCAGGAGACAATGATTCAAACAAAAACCAGGAGATGGACATTTTTCCTCCATCATGAGCCCATAATAAGAGTTCAGTGCACAGTTCAGTGACTGCACTAGCCGTGAAACTGGCTAGTTATTTTGTGAAATAACTGCTGGAAAACTGAATTTTAAAAAAGAGAAAGAAAAAAAAAAGAAACAAAAAGGTCACAAAAATAAAGAGACTATTTCCTTGAAGGAGATTCAAACAACAATTTTTAATTTCTAAATTGGAAAACTAGGAACAAAAAACAAAAAAACACAACAGCAATGACACTTTTAACATAACACAAAAGTTTCAAATTATAATCATGTCACATTTCACAAACAACTCGATTAATGTTTACTTGACTAACTGTTCAATCACAAGATAAACAGCCGGTTCAGCTGGTTAATCCACTCGTTCAACTGCTCACAAACTACTCAACTTTTCAACCAATGAATTCATAAATCTACTTGCTCAACAACTCATTCTTTTTAACCTGTAAACTCGATAATTCACAGATTTTTTTAAACCAGTATTTCAACCCATGAACTACTCATTCAACCACTTGTTCAGCCATTCATTCTTTAACCTATGAACCCAATAATTTACATAATTTTTAAACCATTCCTTTTCAATCTGTGAATACACTCATTCAACTATTAGTTCAGTCATTCATTCATACAACTATTTGTCAATCCACTCATTATTCAGTCTGTGAAACCCACTCATTTAACAATTTGTTTAATCCCTCAATATTCAACCTGCAAAATCTACCCATTTAATTATTTACCCATCTACCCAATCAACAATTTGTCCTACCACCCATTTGATTATTTGCCCAACCACCCATTCAATTCAACTCAACAATTTGTCCAGTAGCTAACACTTCAACGTGTAAACTCACCCATTCAACTAACTGTTTAACCATTTATTATTTAACTTGTGACCCCCATCCACTCTGCTCATTCAACAACTTATTACCACAACAACCATCACATTCTCAACACTAAATAATACATAGTTGTGAATGAAAGACACAGGTTTGGGAAAGCAGCACACCTGCTCGGTTCTACATGACACACTGAAGCTCAAAACAGTTGACCACTGCTTTTCAGGCTTCCCATTTTCAATCATCTCCATTTTTCATGGAATATATCCGGTGGCACAAAAAACAGAAATTTAGCTTCAGGTGCTTTAAAAGGCTGGCCAGCCTGGCGGTTCCTCCGTTGCCAGTTAAAAAAATATAAGGAAAGCATACTACAGTACTCCAGATCCCTGAATGAAGATTGTAGTTAGCGTTTCCTAGATCGTTGCAGCAGTGATTTTATCTTTTTTGATGTCGCGTAACGGATGCACAAGACAGAACGGTGTCTCATTGCTGCTCCAAATAGCAACAGTGTTCACTGTATTCATTATGCAAATGTTTAAAAACAGCACAGCTGGGATGGTGTGTTGCCAGAAGAAATTAACTACCAGACTAGAGTCGGCATGCTTAGCAACTCTGGCGGTTCGGCCTGTTGTTCATCAGCGGTACTGCTGCTGCCGTTGCTGACAGTGTCATTGCTGCTTAAGGCTGCACTGCTGCTGCTGCTGGTTTGACTGGTGTTGCTGTTGCCTGGAATGTATGGCTGATAGTTGAAGAGAGTGTTGTGTTTTTCTGTGTAGGACTTGGCAGAGTCCTGGCCAAGGACCCGCTCCAGGGCGGGAACGGCTTGAGCGGGGATGATACTTCCTGAGGAGGCACAAGACAAGTCAGTGAACAGCAAAAATAAGTAATATAAACATTTTTAAATGATAAGTTATGTTAACCTTATAAATGACGTTGACCTCTTGAATGACGTTAACCTCATAAACGACTAGTAGTGTAGACTTCATAAATGAAAAGTAATGTAAATCTAAAAGATGACATGTAAAACTTTTTAAATGGCATCACGTATTATGAACATCCCAAATAATAACAGGTAATGTGAAACTCCTAAATGACAACAAGTAATGACAACCTCCAAAAAGATCAAAAAGTAATGTAAAGCTCCTAATATGAAAGTAATTGATGGTGAAACTCTGAAATGACAAGTAATTAAAACTTAATTAATGGAAAGTATTGTGAACCTTTTGAATAACTAAGTAATGTGAACCTTTTAAACGACACAAGTAATGTGAAATTCTTGAATGACAACAAATTAATGTGAAACTTCTAAATGACAAAATTTAATTGAAATTCCTAAATGAAAACAAGTAATATGAACTTCCTCAATGTGAACCTACTCAAATGACAGTAACTGATGTGATCCTATTAAATGAGAACTAATGTGAAGTTCTTAAATGAAAACCAGTAATGTAAAGTTCTTAAATGGTAACAAGTAATGTGAAGTTCTTAAATGGTAACAAGTAATGTTTAGCTCCCAAATGACAACAAGTAATATGAGGCTCCCAAATGACAACAAGTAATGTGAAGTTCTTAAGTGACAAGTAATGTGAAGCTATTAATTGCAACCAAGTAATGTGAACATCCCAAATAACAAGTAATGTTAACATTCCCAATAACAAGTAATGTGAACCTCCCAAATAACAAGTAATGTTAACATTCCCAATAACAAGTAATGTGAACATCCCAATAACAAGTAATGTGAACCTCCCAAATAACAAGTAATGTTAACATTCCCAATAACAAGTAATGTGAACATTCCCAATAACAAGTAATGTGAACATTCCCAATAACAAGTAATGTGAACATTCCCAATAACAAGTAATGTGAACATTCCCAATAACAAGTAATGTTAACATTCCCAATAACAAGTAATGTGAACATTCACAATAACAAGTAATGTTAACATTCACAATAACAAGTAATGTGAACATTCACAATAACAAGTAATGTGAACATTCCCAATAACAAGTAATGTTAACATTCCCAATAACAAGTAATGTGAACCTCCCAAACGTGACGCTCATAAATAACCATGATGCGATCCTATTAAATGACACATAATGAGAACCTCCTAAATAACAATAAGTAATGTAAACTTCTTAAAATGACACATAATGTGAACCTCCTAAATAACAATAAGTAATGTAAACCTCTTAAAATGACACATAATGTGAACCTCCTAAATAACAATAAGTAATGTAAACCTCTTAAAATGACACATAATGTGAACCTCCTAAATAACAATAAGTAATGTAAACCTCTTAAAATGACACATAATGTGAACCTCCTAAATAACAATAAGTAATGTAAACCTCTTAAAATGACACATAATGTGAACCTCCTAAATAACAATAAGTAATGTAAACCTCTTAAAATGACACATAATGTGAACCTCCTAAATAACAATAAGTAATGTAAACCTCTTAAAATGACACATAATGTGAACCTCCTAAATAACAATAAGTAATGTAAACCTCTTAAAATGACACATAATGTGAACCTCCTAAATAACAATAAGTAATGTAAACCTCTTAAAATGACACATAATGAGAACCTCCTAAATGATACAGGTAATGTGAAACTCCTACAATGATACAAAGAATTTCATGGAATGACAAGCAATGCACCACATACCAACTATCCTCTGGTTGTCCTCTGTTCGCAGGCGGATGATCTGCATACGAGCGACATTTGAACTAAAGCCACTGAGGACACTCTCCACTTTGCTCCATACGCTCAAAACAGAACCACTCAGTACATGATAGAAGCGGGTTCGGAGCCCCGCATTACATTCCCGTCCCTGGGCAACTTTGGAGCAGGTACCTTGTCTGTGGACAAGATCAAATTGCTGGGGTGAAATTGTGTCCTTTCTTCTTCTCATACTGTGTGTGCCCTTGCATGCGCGTGTGTGTGTGTGCCCTTGCATGCATGTGTGTGTGTGCATGTGTGCGTGCGTGTGTGTGTCTGTATGTATTATGTATGTGTGCATGCATGTATGGTTGGTTGGATGTGCATGCTTTTGTATGTATGATTACTTATGTATTTGTATGTATATGTGAGTGAGTGCGAAGTTAAAGAATGCGTGAGTGAGTGTGTGTGTGTGTGCATTTGCGCAAGCATTTAACATCCATGCTTTTGGTTTTCCCTTGATGTTTATATTATGCATATTGTTTTATAAACATAACATGCTTTATTGATTTTTTTAAAAACAAGTTAATGAGTGAAAGAAGGGTGTTTGAAAGGGCCGAATGTAAGATAGGCCCACATGCTCAATTTGTAACCTCCCCGTGTGGGTTCCGGGGCCCTGTTATAGGGAAAACAAGAATAGAACCCCTGCCTACCCAAAAGCATGTCGTAAGAGTCGACTAATTGTGAGCTTCCTTCAAAGTCGGAGTGCATCTGCCTGAGAGGCAAGGTACTAGCAGTCTGCATACAAATGAGCCAGATCTGTAAAAGGGATGCATACGCAACACTCAGGTTCTAGAACAGGACTGCAGTCCGGAAGTGGATGAACAACCAGAACTTTCCGCTACCAAATTTACAGCTGGTGAACATGAAGAAGAAGAAGAATTTGAGCCTTTGGAAAAATCAAAGTGTGTTGGTCCAGAACATCAATCTCATTACACCTAGCCTGTGAGAAGCTGGATCTCTCACCAGGTCCTCAGCCGCGTGTACTTTCCCACCCAAGGTATCATTTGTATCCTGTGCCCATCACTGCCAGGCTGATCCCTGCTCCTCTTTCCTGGCATCATGCTTTCTAAACATTCCCTGGCTGTGAATTCCTGCAAAAAGTTTTGGTTTTTCGTCCCCTTCAGGAATTTGGTTTTGCTCCAGAATATAAAATTTGTATGCACATCCATTTTACAGAGCTGGCTTATTAGCATGCAGACTGTTGGTTCCTGGTCTCTCAGGCAGATACACGCCGACTTCAGAGTATATAAATTATACCTAATTAGTCGCCTAGTATGACATGCTCGTTAGTGAGGTAATGGGTCTATCCCCCCCCCCTCCCCTTTTTTCCCCCACCCGACATTGATTCCCCTAGAACCCACACATGAAACATAAAGTGATGTGCCTTTCCTTTATCCACCAAACAATGATTCCTCAGAACCCACACATGTAACTAATGAAGTGTTGTGCCTTTCCTTTTTCCACCCCACAATGATCCTGATAAATTGCGTTAACAAAATGTTTTTTAGGAGGCAGTGGGTATCCCCCCCCCCCCTCCCCGCCCCCCAGCCTTTAAAAAAAATATGTTTATGGGGATGATCACCCAGGGCCATGAAGGTGAGATAAAATAATCCTGAAAAATTTGGGAACTGATCAGACATATGCCACAGAAGCTCTGTAGACAGATGGAAAAGATGTCATGACGGATGGGATGTCATGACGGATGGGATGTCACGACGGTAGAGATGTCATAACGGAAGGGATGTCACGATGAAAGGAATGTCACGACGGAAGGGAAGGGATGTCATGATGGAAGGGTTGTCACGATGGAAGGGATGTCATGACGGAAGGGATGTCACGATGGGAGGAATGTCATGACGGAAGGGATGCTACGACGGAAAGGATGTCATGACGGAAGGGATGTCATGACGGAAGAATGATCATGACGGAAGGGATGTCACGACGGTAGGGATGTCACGACGGAAGGGATGTCACGACGGAAGGGAAGGGATGTCATGATAGGAGGGTTGTCACGATGGAAGGGATGTCATGACGGAAGGGATGTCACGATGGGAGGAATGTCATGGCGGAAGGGATTCTACGACGGAAAGGATGTCATGACGGAAGGGATGTCATGACGGAAGAATGATCATGACGGAAGGGATGTCACGGTGGAAGGGATGTCACGACGGAAGGGATGCTACGACGGAAGGGATGCTACGACGGAAGGAATGTCACGGTGGAAGGGATGTCATGGCGGAAGGGATGCTATGACAGAAGGGATGCTATGACGGAAGGGATGCTACGATGGAAGGAATGTCACGGTAAAAGGGATGTCGTGACGGAAGGGATGTCGTGACGGAAGGGATGTCGTGACGGAAGGGATGTCGTGACGGAAGGGATGTCGTGACGGAAGGGATGTCATGACAAAAGGGATGTCATGATGAAAGGGATGTCACGATGGCAGTAGCACTGAACTTTAGGTGTGTTAAGGACTGCCTCTGGGCAGTAGCACTGAACTTTAGGTGTTTTAAAGACTGATCTCTGGGCAGCAGCACTGAACTTTAGGTGTTTTAAAGACTGATCTCTGGGCAGCAGCACTGAACTTTAGGTGTTTTAAAGACTGATCTCTGGGCAGCAGCACTGAACTCTAGGTGTGTTGATGACTGGCCTCTGGGCAGCAGCCCCGAACTCTAGATGTATTAAGGACTGGCCTCTGGGCAGCAGCACTGAACTCTAGGCGTGTTGAGGACTGACCTTAAGGCAGCAGCACCACCGAACTCTATGTGTTTTAAAGACTGGCCTCTGGGCAGCAGCACCAATATCTAGGGGATGAAGCACCTTACACTTCCTACATATAATGATTATTACTATTATAAGACCATCTCTAGACAAGTCTATCAACTCACAAATACACAAATGACAAAGCCAACCAGACACAGAAGACCATCTCTAGACAAGTCTATCAACTCACAAATACACAAATGACAAAGCCAATCAGGCATGGAAGACCATCTCTAGACAAGTCAATCAACTCACAAATACACAAATGACAAAGCCAATCAGGCATGGAAGACCATCTCTAGACAAGTCAATCAACTCAAAAATACACAAATGACAAGGCCAATCAGGCATAGAAGACCATCTCTAGACAAGTCTATCAACTCACAAATACACAAATGACAAAGCCAACCAGGCATAGAAGACCATCTCTAGACAAGTCTATCAACTCACAAATATTTGTGTTGGCACTGTGTTTCCGACTTGATGTAGTGATCCTCCCACAGTGGCTCGGCAACATCGGGCAGACATTTCTTGTGCTTCGCCCTGATCTCCTCCATCGTCTCGCAGCGGGCCTGCAGACCCGCATTGGGCCGGTAGATGTTATACATGAGTTCCTTCTTCTTATTGCGCCCCTGCACCACGACCAGGATGACTACCCTCTTGCAGACTCGGTCCTGGTGGAGCAGAAGAGAGATAAGATCAACAATTTTTTTAAAGGATTGGTGAGAACTACTAGCACACTGGGCATCGGATCATTATCCACGTGTGTGTATGTGTGTGTGTATGTGTGTGCGTGTGGGGAAGGGGGCATTTTTCTCACTGCTCCTTAACTAGCATGTTGTAAAAAGTGACCAGCCGAGTACCGGGTAATGTCATGAAAAGTAAAAGCTGCTAGCAAGATGCTGACATCATTATCATCCACTGCGCACCGATGGACACTAAAAAGCACAAATGTCTCCCTGTACTTTGTGTGTACATTTTAATTCAACTGTTAACTCTTCCCAAACTGTGATCACTAGACGGCTTAGATTGGTTGACAGTACATGATCGATGCTTATATTGTTACTCGATTTATTCATAATATTTAACGGCCTCAAAGGTTCCCCCTGTTTATTTATTGGAACTACGTATACACACCGGAACCTACCAATCAAATACCTTTCTTTAATGTTTGTGTATTCTAGACAAAGCAATAAGGTCTTACTGTGTTCGTAAATTGTTGCTGTGATTGTTATTCGACATTTGCTTTGTTAATATAAATTTCTGTAACCTGTGGTGCTATTTCAATGGGTTGAAATGAATTCTGTCCGTATTCCATAGTTGTGGATTTTCAAGCTGTACGATAGACATGGCCAAAAAGACATCTTTTTTTGGGGGGGGGGGGGGGGGGGGGGGGGGGGGGGGGGGGGGGGGGGGTGCCTAGTTGACCATGTATCTTAGTGCACTTGTATTCATGGCGAGGCGCAGACGCCGTCTGGAGGTGACAGGTTCAATTCCCGGCACGGTAACTATAGCTTTCCATTTTTATGTTGTCTAGTGTGTTCTTCTTCTTCTTCTTCTTCGCGTTCACCAGCTGTAAACTCTGGCGGAAGGTTCTGGTTGCTCGTCCACTACTGAACTGCAGTCCTGCTCCAGAACCTGAGTGTTGCGTGTGCATCAGTTTTACAGATCTCATTCTCTTGAATACAGACTGTTGGTTCCTTGCCTCTCCGGCAGATGCACTCCGACTTCAAAGGAAGCTCCCCAATTAGTCGACTCTTACGACATGCTTTTGGGGAAGCAGTGGGTCTATTCTTGTTTTCCCCACAATGGGGCCCCGGAACCCACACGGGTTCTTCTATCTTTCTACTTCTTTCTATGAGTGCTGATCAATACACTTTCTGTTACTTGATTAATTCATTATATTGGGGGATATAGAAGTAGAAGTAGAAGGAGAAGAAGAAGCATCACACCATCTGGACATTCTACATACCTGCAGTGACACATAAAAGCCTTCGTCCAGGGAGCCGCACCGTTTCCAGAGCTCCAAGGCTTTGTGCCAATGCATGCCTTTCTCCACAGCAAACTTGCTCAGTTCTGTTCTGGCAGTGTTGGTCGCTGAGTTGCCCACAAACACTCTGCTCTCAAGTTTCCGCACTTTCTCTTCACCTGAGCCAAGATCTGCAATGAACATCAATAATGTCTTTGAGAACAAGGGTCCCTGAATCTTTCTTTCTTTCTTTTGTCAGGTTAACAGATTATCATTTTCCACGGGCAGGCTCGGTTGCCCAGAATACTATGATGTTGTGGATAGTGACTTCTTCAATACATTTTCTTCTTCAGTATTTCCTAACTCTTAGTGCTTCTACTTTCATGTTGTACGCTCTCGCGGCAGCTATCACTGGATTTACTCTCATTAACCCACTGACTATCACAATCGCATGTTATGCGAATCGCCGACATTTATGGTTGGCTACCACGATCGCACCCCTTGCGATCATAACTTTGGCCGCTCGCCATCATGCTATAATCACGATTTTTGCAATGAATGTGAAAGCCTTTAGCTCATTCATTTCTCTAAAATAATTTAAGAGAAACAGGTTTATAGTAAATGTTTAAAGAAGTGCTTATAGTAAACTTTATGAATTGTCATCGTTAGCTCCCTTCTCGGTGACACACTGACGAAATTCTCATTATGGCGTCAGTCTCGAAGTGATCGTGGTGGTCACATTTATCATTTTTCTGTTGGTGCATATGATTTTTTTTTTACTGAATTTTCCCCGGAAAGTGAAAGTGAAGATTTTACTAAACAGTTTGATGACTCTAGTTTTGATCAATGGAATAAAGTGCCATCAAAAACATCACTGACAGTAGTAAAACAACAGGATGTGGCTTCAAAGACAAGTCTAAGATTCGACCGGCAGTTACACAGTCAACAGCTAACACTAGTGTGGCAGTTTCCTATACTGATAGTTCTAGTGAAAGTATTCAATCAGAGCCGGTAGATTTTGGAAGATGTTATTTATGAGCCTGCACATGATGAAGATATTACCTCTTTTGATCCAGATTCATCATCTGCTATACCCGATTCTGGTTGATAACTGGCATTGTGATTTGTGGGGCTTTCCTTAAAATACACCCATTTACAGAAGAAGGTGCAGTGTGTGCAGAAAAAGACAAATGTTGGAATCCAGAAATAAAAAGGGCTGCAAAGGGACCATGGCAAGTTATGAGTGTAGGGAATGTCAGGTGCCACCTTGTAGTGAAAGATCCTATGGACTGTACCATACTACTGACACATTTTGGCTGTAAAAAAATTTTTTGCATTAAATTGAACACATTTTTTATATTAATATAACAGTACAATTTCATGTGGTTTTTTTTTTATATCATGAAATTTAGTCTATACTGTTGGCAGTAACAGATTTTTTCGGTTGCCTTTTTTGCACCATATCTACAGTCGCATGATGATGATGATGTCAACCAAAAAAGAAAAATGCAAAATATGATGAGTTCGTGTCAAATGGTTGTGAAGTTATGGCATTTTTCTTAGTTAGAAACAAGATTTTGTTGCCTCTTTTGCACTAATCTACATTCAAATGATGACAATGTCAAACAAAATAGGCATACATTTTCTTGCAATTTGTTCTCCATTCAATTTGGTGCAAAAATACAATATGATGAGTTGGTGTCAAATGGTTGTGATGTTATGGCATTTTCAGTACACACTAAAATATGTGGTATCTGGGAAAGTGCTAGGGTTAACGGGTGTGACAGTGGGCTAAACGGGCAAACCATTTCAGACATTTTTTTCCCCATGAATTTAATGATGGGCGGTGTTATAACAGTTCTTCTAACTTCTTTATTTCTCACACAATCTCTTATAGTTTTGTTGACTACCTTTCTCAAACATCTCATTTCAAAGATGAATAGATTTCTTTCATGTTCTTTAGCCTATGTCCAAGTCTAACACTGATAGCACAAAGTTGGTATGATGATTGCATTTCCTAAATAACATTTGAAAATAGTAAAAACAGGTTTAGGTCACTGCAGACATGAGCAACATTCGACAAAGGAACAGGTAAACGGATTCTATAGACATAGCAATCAGGTTTAGTCCTATTTGATTCCATGCACACTGCAGGCATAAGAACAAACTATGTTTACTGCAGGAACTCACTGGTGACCTAGATAATGGTATTAGTTACTGATCAAACACACCAACTGATGAAATACACTGCAGGAACTCACTGGTGACCTAGATAATGGTATTAATTACTGATCAAACACACAAACTGATCAAACACACAAACTGATGAAACACTGCAGAAACTCACTGGTGACCTAGATAATGGTATTAGTTACTGATCAAACTCACAAAATGATAAAACACACTGCAGGAACTCACTGGTGACCTAGATAATGGTATAAGTTACTGATCAAACACACAAACTGATAAAACACACTGCAGAAACTCACTGGTGACCTAGATAATGGTATTAGTTATTGATCAAACACACAAACTGATGAAACACTGCAGGAACTCACTGGTGACCTAGATAATGGTATAAGTTACTGATCAAATACACAAACTGATGAAACACACTGCAGGAACTCACTGGTGACCTAGATAATGGTATAAGTTACTGATCAAACACACAAACTGATCAAACACACTGCAGGAACTCACTGGTGACCTAGATAATGGTATAATTTACTGATCAAACACAAAACTGATCAAACACACAAACTGATGAAACACTGCAGGAACTCACTGGTGACCTAGATAATGGTATTAGTTACTGATCAAACACACCAACTGATGAAACACACTGCAGAAACTCACTGGTGACCTAGATAATGGTATTAGTTACTGATCAAACACACAAACTGATAAAACACACTGCAGAAACTCACTGGTGACCTAGAAAATGGTATTATTTATTGATCAAACACACAAACTGATAAAACACTGCAGGAACTCACTGGTGACCTACTGCAGGAACACACTGGTGACCTAGATAATGGTATAATTTACTGATCAAACCACACAAACTGATCAAACACAACAAACTGATGAAACACTGCAGGAACTCACTGGTGACCTAGATAATGGTATTAGTTACTGATCAAACACACCAACTGATGAAACACACTGCAGAAAACTCATGGTGACCTAGATAATGGTATTAGTTACTGATCAAACACACTCAAGGTATCCACAAGTTACTTTCTCCAGGCTTGTGGCCTTTTCTCAATCTTCTGTGTTTGCCATTAAAATGGTGGCTGGCATGCTGCATTGTGGTTTGCACCATATTTTCTCCTTAGCGTTCACCAGATGTAAACTTTGATTGAATGTTTAGGTTGTTCGAACTAACTTCTAGGCACTGGTCTTGCTCCAAGACTTGAGTTTTGCATGCAAATCTGTTTTAAACATCTAGTTTATTTGTATGCAGACTGTTGGTTCCTCGTCTCATGGGCAGATGCACTCCGACTCTGAAGGAAACATCCATAATTGTTAGTTTTTTTGCGACATGCTTGTTAGGTAGTCTGTGGCTTAGGCGTTGTGAACCAGCTTCATAATGCCAGGTTCGATCCCAGCTGCAGAAGATTTGTCTTGAGTTGGTTTCAACAATAGTACTAAGAGCTGACGATTCAGCAAGCAATGGCAAACTACTGAAAGTAAAATCTGCCTAGAAAAACATCAACAGCCACAAAATCCTGGGGCTGGTTCTGCAATGTTCTGTGAAGGATACACAACAAACTTGTGAGGGGAGCCATGGGGCCCCCAAAAACCCCACAGGGACACCTAATCGTCAATATGTGCATCTTGAGAGCTTTCACATCTGATTTCAGTAAACCCACTAGCTAGTCGCCTTCTACGCCATTATTTGTTTGGTTTGATGGGAGGAAGGGGCGGGGGTCATATGAGGGTTAGCTATTTCAGTATTAAACCTTATACAAACTAAGGGGTAGCTATTTCAGTATTAAACCTTATACAAACTAAGGGGTAGCTATTTCAGTATTAAACCTTATACAAACTAACGGTTAGCTATTTCAGTATTAAACCTTATACAAACTAAGGGGTAGCTATTTCAGTATTAAACCTTATACAAACTAAGGGTTAGCTATTTCAGTATTAAACCTTATACAAACTAAGGGGTAGCTATTTCAGTATTAAACCTTATACAAACTAAGGGTTAGCTATTTCAGTATTAAACCTTATACAAACTAAGGGTTAGCTATTTCAGTATTAAACCTTATACAAACTAACTACATACACAAATATCCAGGTCAGAATTTCAGAACTTGAAAAATACAAACTTGAATAAACGGTTTTTGCACACTTGTGATGGGCATAGTTGAATATAGACTGCTCGCCGCAGCGCAGCGGTTCTCAACCCATGGGCCGTGACCCTTTGGGGGGTCAAATAGCCCTTTCACAGGGTCACCTAAGACCCTTTTTATTTTTAAAACTTGCTTCTTATTCTGCCCTAAAAAGAGGTGCAACTGAACACCAATATTTAACTTTGTGCAAAGCAATAACACTCAGTACACAATGCAACTTTTTTCCTCCCTTGTATTCAGCAGTGGAGCACAGGCCCCCAACCAAATCACTCCTATCCACATGCAGCTGAGCCCCTGTCATCATTTCTCTGTTTGTTTCTTCACTCTCTAGCTCCCTTCTACGTGTCTTTTTTCATCTGCCTTGACTTCTATGCCCCTATGAGCATTCTATGCCCCTATGAGACTTCTATGCCCCTATGAGCATTATATGCCCCTATGAGCATTCTATGCCCCTAAGATTATAGCCCCCATGACTTATTGCCCCTATAGCATTCTATTATGACC